TGGTAATTTCTTTAAAAAACAAGATGGATGCTAGAACCGCCGCCATGCTGGCCACCAGTTGCTTCACTATTGGTCAACGTAACTGAAAAAATTGTCCAACTGCATAATTAGAGAGCGACGTTCTGAACTGCAGCTGACCAGCGCATGTACGTATATATGTTCACGTCAATAATTCAATTCAGGATTTGTAAAAGCTGGGAAGATGAAATTCTGGAAAAGGATTGCTCGATCTTATGCAAGACTCAAATCTGCAATTATTCAGACACCCTTCAGGGCACTGATTGGTCTCTGATTTAAGCTCAAGCTAGTTTATAATTTACTGGTCAGGAAAGCCATAAACTAAAAATTGAGACAGGTCAATCCGCTAGTGGATGGGTAATTCGCTAACTCCCCTTGCTATAACTATCACATTTCTTTGGCCATAAACCGGTCTTCATTTTCAACGTTTGAAACAATCCTGCAGTTGCAATGATAAGGTTGCATTGTAAAGTTCTATTTAACCAAATCCAGACGATATTACATTGAAGAGCAATTTGTACTAGAGACTCCGGAAGGAATTACGAAAATCCTTATATTTTCGCAAACTTGAGCATCCGACGATCATAATTTTACTCAAAAATGTAGTGGTGGAGCATTCACTGTTGTTGAGTTGTTTTGTTCTAGTTGTGGAGGACATGCAACGTAGCTGTCACTCATTTCTATCATATTCCTCCCGCCCACTTTGCTTGTTTTCTCTTTCTTTGACTACGCATTTTTTGCATCTATGCAGTTTCTTGTTAAAGATTTTATTTTGAGTCAGGGAGGATGATTTACGCTAAACTACGGCAAATTCCTTTTTTTAAACCTTCTTGTATAAATCAGTACCAATGAATTGTTCTGGTAAGGAGATATCTGTGAGCATTTGCTGTGCAAAAACGTCTCGTTGTTGCCATGAATGAATTCCAGAATAACAAATGCTAGGAAAGCTGAAGTTTTTGAAGACGCTCACGGTCATTGTACTAACTTATTTGAATACTTGCGCAGCTGTTGCGCTTTCCGAGTCCACGTGATACCGCACAGGCGTACCACGGCCATTGTAAAGAAACTAAAATGCCACATAATTTTTCATGCCCTTCAAGGTCCTATTTTGACATTAGGGAGGTCAATGATTTGGCCCAAAACTTAGCTTCATTCTAGCGCTGTTGCAGAGTGCAGTACGGTGAATAGTAATCATAATGGAAGTAATGATAGTGATAACGACAGTTAGAGTAGTAACAATAACAACAATAAAAGCAAATAGCAATAATAATAGTGGAAACAATAATTACAATTGTTATTGCTACTGTAATGTGCAAAATTTTCAGATAAACCCAGGCTGGAACGCACCGGGCCGGCCCGTGTGATTATGCGTTTTTGCACAGGACTTGAAGTACC